GGGACTTCAGAGTACCGCTTAGTTGTAATTTTCGCTGAGCGGTACTTGCGGCTCTTCTTTTATGCACTTTTTCTTCCTTTTCTGACTCCAACTTATGGCTATTTCACTTCTTCCATTCAATTCATCTTAAAACCTGCAAAAATAAGGTAAACCAAGCATAAAACCCATCCAACTCTCTTATTTCCAAAACATAAGCAAAAGCATGATTACAAGTTAGTTTCTAAGTCATAAAGGTTCTCTTTAAGGTTAAAAGTAAGTCTAAAAATAACAGTTTTTCGACTATTATCAACGCGGTGGCCGAACGAGTGGTAGAAGCACGAATTTCTCTAATCAAACTAGTGAAGACGATGGAGGTGAGCAAAATGAGGGAAACAATAGAGGAGGAAGACAGTTTCGAGGCAGAGGAAGAAAGGAAAAAAGAAGTGTTCAATGCTACACCTGAAACAAGTTCGGGCACTACTCTGCATAATGTTGGCACAATGAAGCCGCGAAGAAGACCAAGAATGATGATGTGGCGAATCTTGTTTAGGAGGATTGTGATTCGGAGTCCGAACTTATTGTGCTGATGAGTACTCTAGAACGATTGGAAGTGGAGTTGTGTAGAGAGATAGTGCGGGACAGGTGTGAATGTGTATCTGAACGTGTGTTGCAGCCAAAAGCAACAAGCCATGAAGATGAGTGTCACGGTGGTACAGACCACGTGTTGTACTCGGAGAAGATGAACCATACAGTGAAGGTTGAAGAAGTTAAGGTGTTATTGCTGCTGATAACACTGAGAATGAAGGATGGTTATACAGAGTCGGTGATGATAGGCAGAAGAAGAAGAGGAGATCTAGAAAAGATGAGCATAGGCATGGTAAAAGGAGAAACAAACGTCGAAAGAAGAAACGAAGGAAACAAGAGTGGAAATAGCCCCGATGGTGAGAACTGTGGTGTTCGACTGAAATATTAGAAGTAAAGAGAGGCAGTCTAATATGATGGACGATCAGCCTGGCAAAGCTTGGAAGCTTAAATAATAACAAAATAGGTGGAGAGAGGATTATCAAATATTTTCCTTGTGGGTATAAACTGAACATTTTCGAGTGGAGAAAGGGAAGCTTCCTTGTGACGTATATTTGTATTTCTCTTTATATACATTACAGATTCAATAATATACATACAAATACTTTCTTCTTCTTTTGTTGTTAAGTGTTATTGTGAGAAAGAGAGTCTTCTGTTTGGTTTGCTAAATAAAGAAACCTAACCGTTTTACAAGGAGTCATACTCCTGATTGCTTTCACTTGCAAAGCGTTATGATTTCATGAATAGTTAATTACAATGCCAAATAAGGATCAATATTACAAAACAGTGTTAGCATCAAGTTTAATGAGATAATATAATTTAGGATTAATAATCGCGTTTCACGTTACTTAAAAGTGATCAAAATCGTGACATGAAACGTATTGGAATTCTGATGATCTTTTTCCTCATTGAATAGCTTACCCAAAATCCAAAATTTGATATTTTTGTGACAAATTGAAAGTCAAGGGAATTACAAGTAGCTATGATTCTTTGAGAGATAAGATACGCCTTGTGCAATGCCCTTGCAGATGATAGAGAACTGAACCTACTTTTCATGATTCACAAAATCCAGATAGAAATCAATTCTAAGTGTAATGTTGATGTAATCGTGTAAACAAATGCAGCATGCCTATACCAAATAGTAGCTGAGTAATGTTACATTCTCTGAGTACTCATAACAAAAAGTCGTTCATCCCTCTCAATTCAGCATCCATGTAACTTCATGATGTTACTATGTTGCACTGCAGAAGTAGCATAAACCTAAGTTTTAAACTTCGAGAGTTTCCTTGATGAGATTATGCAGAATAACATAAAAAAGGGACATATGACAGGAAAACAGAGGGAGGCAATCAAGACACGGATGATTTCCTCTTTAGCTTTTTCTTTATCCCTACTATATTCATCATATTCTTAGGTAGTGTAGATACAAGTTCACTCGTTCTAGTTTATTTTGGTTTCCTTTTAACTGAATCAAACCTTTCATAATAGTGCTTGACACAAGGCTCAAGGTCAGAATGAGGTTTGGAACAAACCGTTTTGGATTGCATGGGAATTTGAAGTTACATAAGGCATCTTACTCCCTGTTCTATTCTTAGCTTCTACATCATAACAAGGTTCCGAACAATCAAGAAGCACAACTTCTGTTCCCTTCACACGTATAAACACAAAAATCACAGACTAATACTATGACAAAGCAGCAGGCAGCAAGCAGCAATAAGGATTTGTTCTTGCAAGGTCACTATAGAACAACCACCTCTTGATCAGTAGCATCTTGCACTCCTTCATCATTAGTCTTTCCTTCATTCTGATGTTCGACATCATAAGTTGCATGGACAGCGACAAAAAAATAGTACAGAAACATGACAGCAGTGCAAACGATGAACCTCCAGAAAGCCTCGGTGCCCAAAGAGCCCATGAGAAAGAGGTTGGTGGCAACGGACAAGGAGGGGAGCCAGGGAACCAAGGGAACTCCCCAGACCTTGGGAGCTCTCTGCTTGGGAAGCAAACTCATACCCAAAGTTCCCAAAAACCAAACACAAGCCGCAACCGTGTAACCGATCCAACCGAGTATCCGTGAATGCCAAAGCGCAGCCCCAACAGCAGAAGAACCAACAATCACAAACAAGCAGATAAGAACTCTGGCTAACTCACTCTTGCCAGTGCTCTCCCTGGAATAGTACCTCCTCACAAGCAGCGCAACAGCCATAAGCATGAAAATGAAGAGCGTGCTGATGGAGAAAACACTAGAGAGAACATCCAAGCTAGAGAAAAGAGCGATGACAGAGCTACAAAGAGTGGTCAAGAGAGTGGCATTCACAGGGGTTCCTGTTTTGGGGTGAACGAGGGCGAAGAAAGGTGGGATCATGTGCGATCTTGCAATCTGAGTGGTGTACCTAGCTTGACCCATGGACCCAACAAGCAAGCTTGTAGTCATCCCCTTCAACGCACAAATGCTCACTAGGTACTTAGCCCAACTCATCCCAATCTGAACAAAGGCCACGGAGTAAGCAGCGTCAGCGTCAACTTCAGTGTACTTCACCATGCTCACAAGGGACAAAGCCATCAAGCAGTAGATCACCGTAATCATGCTCATTGACCCAACCAGACCAATAGGTATGTCCCTTGAAGGCTTTTTCGTCTCTTCAGCCATCGTCGCCACCATGTCGAAACCGCTGTACGACCAGTACACCACGGCGGCGGCGTTGAAAACACCGTCCACGCCGAAAGGGGCAAACGGCGACAAGTTCGACGCCTTTCCGTGGACGAAGCCGATTATAATTATGAACGCGATCACCAATGTGGTGATCAGGGAACTCATCCAGGTTAAGATCGAGGTTTTGCGGGTACCGCTAACGGCAATGCCGTTGGTGATGAGAAGAACCGCCACGGCTAACGGATCGAGCAGGTCAAACCCGGGTTTGAACCCGGGGATCCGGATCCGGAAGAAGTCCGGGTCAGATTTCACCATGGAGGCGAAGTAGGAAGACCAGGAGCGGCCGAGCCCGGCGGCACCGACGAGAGCCTCCAGCAGGATGTTGCCGGCGGCGACGAAAGCGAGGAATTCGCCGAGCTCGATGCGGAGGAAGGAGAAGGAGCCACCGGCGACTGGAACGTCGACGGCGAACTCGGTATAGCAGAGGGCTGAGAGGAGGGCGGAGAAGCCGGAGGCAGCGTAGGAGAGGACGATGGCGGGGCCGGCGTGGAACCGGGCCTCCTGTCCGGTGACGACGAAGATACCGGAGCCGACCACTGATCCGAAGGCCAACCAGCTGAGGTCCCACCAGGTGAGGCAGCGGTTCATGCGGTGCTCGCTGGCAAGGGGGAGCACGAGCAGCTCGTGCGAGTCGCTCGAGCGGTTCAGAAGACGGTCCCTGAGGCGCGGACACGTGTCAGCCAACGCCGTGCAGTAGGATTTCCCATTCTCGAATGACTTCTCCGGGAAGAAGTCCCGCTTGCTCCACCGCCAGTAGCTTCGATTCTCCGGCGCCGACGACGGTTCCATCGGCACTGTCAGAGGAGCACAATTTCAACGGTTGTTGACTTTTGACCACAGTCCAACGACCCCCCACCTTGTTTCATTTTCTGTTTAAGTATAAAACTTCTCTTATAATTATAAATAAAAAAGATCAGAACTTTTAAAGTATGTATGCCTATATGAATACTTCAATTTATTAATATTAATATATTGTGTACTAACGAATTCATTTTAATAATTTTATTTCATAATCTTTTCTAAACAACGTAACTATTAAATGAATAAAATTAAAACATTAGATAAAAAATATTTATGATTATGCAGATTTTTTCTTGGAATATAAAAATCAACTCATGGAAAACATGTTACCTCAATAATATAATATAAAAGTTTTTCCAAATAATGACGGTATAAAAGAATGGATATTAATTCCTAAAGGAACCTGAACTCAAATGTATGTTAGATACATTGACACCCCGACACCAGCGTCCACACATTTCGTAATCAACTTTTTCTGCTTAAATCTTTCAAAAAAAAATTTTCAGTTAAAGTAATATTTTACTTCTCTAAAATTAATTAAATTATGAAATTATAATGTTTCGATTTTTTAGTAAAGATCACCGTTTATCTCTCATTTTCCTCTCATCATCGTTTAGTCAGATTTAAAGATTACATAAAGAATATATTATGTCAAAATCCGTATATATTTAACAGTTAGTCATATTAAATATAAGGAAAATGATACTCGAACAACCAAATTTGACAACATTTGAACACGGCACACGTGTCAGCGTTTGAACGGTCCACGTTTTAAAGAGAAAAAGCTGCTGAAATCTGAGAAAACCTGGGAACGTGGCGAGGGACGGGCACGGGCAGTTTAGGGTGTGCGTTTCAAATTTGAAATGATATTCGAACTTGGTAGAGAGAGAAGCGGCGCGAACATTTGGGGACGCCATCCGTGTGACCTAGACAAAGAGACGAGAGAGTTGGAGAAGGGTTCACGAGCGAGAGAGAGACGGAGTGCTTGCCGGAGTGCCGCCGTCACTGTTGAAGGCCGTGTCGGAGAGATCGAACGCCTCCAGCCCGTTCCGTTTCAAGGGCGCCGAAGGTCCGCGTCGACCGGTCGAGCGAACACGGCATCGTGTTCCGTCCGTTCCGGCCCAGCGACTTAGGAGGCGTTGAAGGTATCGCTTCGTCCCAGGTGGTTCCGTCCCTGTCCAGGAGTGCGCCGGAGTGCGCGGGAGATTGGCGGAGTGTCGCAGAGTGTGGACTGTTCGGTGGACGTAAAAGAAAGGGAAGAAGGTGTAAGAAAGGGAAGAAGGTTATTTCATCAACAGCCATTTTGTTGAATATGTAAAGAGAATGAGATTAAGGTGAGGATTTAGTTGTTTTTTCTTTATTTGTGATATTTCATTTGATTCTGTTGATAATTAGGGATCCTTGCAAGATGCATGGCTTGATAATATTGAATTTGATCCAAAATCTCTTCAAAAATCTGTACCAACTAATGATGTGGATGAGGGCATGCCTGACCTTCTTCTAAAAGATATTGCCGTCATGAAGAGGAGGGATTACAAATGTTCTTGAACCTGGGGAAGGTAGTATGTATGTATTTTATCATTCTTAATTTTTGATTTTTTATTTCTTGTTCTAGAAGTATCATTGTAAAATACAATATTTATTTTCCAATTCACTCCAGAGTAGTTGTAGATCATCCCATTTGTTTTAGGCAATCACTGGTTTTTTATCATGAAAAGCGAGAGGTTTTTGATCGTGAGCGGGTTAGTGTATACACTATGCTTTATTCTACTTATATTATGTTTGTTGTTTCATTGTTTACATGTTAACAACATGAGTAATATGCTGTTTGATTTTATAATTTATTTGATTTAACTACTTGGTTTTACTATTATAATTGTTCAACTTATGTTGTTATTATGGTCATGATGCAAGATGAGAACTTATTGTTCTATTACAAATATCATACATGGTGTTGTTTATTCTTAGTGTTTGGAGAAACCATCTTGGGCTCCATATTAGTTAAGTGTTGGATTTTGGGGCGTTATTATTTTCAATTTTTCCTTGGCTCTTCTTTCTTCTTTCTATGATGTTGTCGATATTTAGGTTTATGAGAAGGAGTGAAGGGTGCCTGTTTCGTGGTATAAACTGCTTAATGCTTATGCCTTCTACATTCTCCCCTTTTCAGAAGGATATGAGAAGTTAGCCGGGCAAAAGAAGGCCCATCAAATCAACATTTGGATTTGGCTAGTGGAGAAGCCTCTAGCAACTGGTGAAGGTGATTATGGATATGTTTGCTGACGAGATGATAACAGTAAGCCATCTACAGATTGAAAATAATACAGTAGTCAATCTTCATCGGACGCCATATTGTGTGGAGGAATGAAGTGTTCAACATTAGGGTGTTACAAAATGGATAGTACGAATGTCATTTATTGGATTTCTTATCACTCTTTGAAATTGTGATGATTAGGTTTGAATGTACATATTTTTTGTTACAAAATCATCAAAGAAATGTTCAATAAATGACATAATCAATGGTTGAAGATCATTTGCATGTCCAATAAGTGTTAAAAAAAATTCATTAAAAAATCAATGTCATTTTGGAAAGTTGAATATCTATGCAAAAACTTTGCTTGAACTCCCCACTTATTTGGTCTTTGCTACCAATGTTGTTTCTGTACACTGATTTTTACAAAGAATGTTCATTGGGCATGAGTTGATATAAAGGTGATAATCAAATGTCGAACTCACACTTGTATGTCCAATAAGTCTTTAAAAAAAATTGGTTCACTTAAAATCAATGCTATTTTCTTGTGAGTCTCCCCTTTTCTGTAAAATCCTCTTCTCCAGCATCGAGAGTGGTAGTGGTGTAGTGATAACAGTTGAAAAACTGTTATTTTCATGCTTAAAGTGATACTAAAAGCAACCTTTAACTTAGAAAACTAGCTTGAAATCAATGCTTTCTTCATATTTTTAGAAATATGAGAGCTGGACAGTTTTGCTTGATTTCAGTGTTTTTGTGCAGGTTTAAGGTGATTGGTGAAAGAAGTGAAGAAGGAGAGAGATGAAATCAGAAAAGACAATAAAAAGGGCAAAAAGAGAAGCCGAATCACCGCTCAGCGGCAGTTTACCGCTGAGCGGGCACTCAGAGCTTGCGGGAGATCCGCTAGGAGCAAAATGGCCGCTGAGGGGAGCAAAACAAGTTCAACGCCACTCACCGCTGAGCGGTATTTTACGCCTGAGCGGCACTTTAATGGGCTTGGACTTAACTTTTTGTATTACGAATGATATATAAGCTTTAGGGTTTTCCTAGGGTTAGGCATCTTTGGCAGAAACGAAGCAACCAACCCCTTCTCTTTACCCCTTTGAAGGAGGATCTTGGATGCTGAGGCTTCCTCTTCACCTTTTTAGGGTATTCTTTCATTCTTTCATTAATAATTCATCTAGGTTCACACATGAATATGTGAACTAAACTCTGTATGTGGTTGGGGAATCAATGTAATCTTTTGAAGCTCTCATTATGGAATCTTTTTTACATCTTTTAATTAAGACTTATGCTTCTTTCATCATTAGTTAGGGTTTTTCCTCTTTGCCTAATGCTTGCATTGTTAAACTCATTCGATTCATGATTATTGGTTTTGTCGATACGTGCGCGTACGGGAAGTCTAGATCCGGGGAATTTCTCCAATTTTATATTGGTTGTCGTAAGCTCCTGCACTATGAACTGATCATTAGGAATGCTAGGAATTGTATGAACTCGTGATTAGGGAGAAGCCTTCCTGGAAAGGTACATTAGAGAGTGGCATTAACAATGATGATTTGAATGTTGAATTCCTAAATAATGAGAGTGGATAAGATGAAATTGACCCCCAACAACATATTCATACATATATTCATTGAAAGTGTTTATCTTTTGTTTTATTGCCCATTGATCAAAAACTTCATGCATACATATTTAATTTTCGTCTTTTGCATATAAACTCCAAATATTTCTTCTTTAAGTCTTAGCTAATCAAGAAACCACACAACTAAACTAGGCCGTGAGTCCTTTGGGAAGAACTGATACTTGGTCTTACCAAGTTTATTACTTGAACGATTTGGTCATACTTGCCGATTGAAAACAAGTTGGTGACATCATAATTTGGTGTTCATAAATTTGTCCATCAGTTTTTGGCGCCGCTGCCGGGACTCGTGGTTTAACGTTAATTTGTGTGATTTGATTATCTTGACTTATTTTTTTTATTTTATTTTAAAATTTCGAATTATTTTTATTTTATTTTTCTGTTTATATTTTCAGTTGTATTTTATTGATTTGATTTTATTTATTTTTCTTTTCTATTTTTTTGTTTTCTGTTTTTATTCTGTTTTCTGTTTTTATCTTCTGAATCTTATATATTCTCTTATATCTTTTGTGCTAACCAAATTTTTCTAGGGTTTTGTGTTCTTATGTATGCAGAGGCAATTCGAACTAGGAGCAAGAAACAACAGAACCTCTGCTTGAGGATTAAGATAGTAAGACGGAGGAGAAGAATCAGACAATCTAGAGAACTTTTTCCTCCTCCGGGAACTCTGTGGCAACCATCACCACAAGGTTCTGACATAGCACAGAAAATATGGAGAATAACAATGTTAGAAGAACTCTTGTGATTACACCAATCTAGCTGGACCCTCAGCACTTTAACAGCATAGCTAGACCAAGAGTCAATGCAGCCAACATGGAGGTGAAACCCGGTTGATCCAGCTGGTTAAGTAATCAATTTAATGGTTGTCTCATGAAAGCCCCATATGAGCACCTCACAACCTTTAATGAAATTTGCAATACAGTGAAGATAAATGGGGTGCCTGAGAAGCAATCAAACTTATCCGTTTCCATTCTCATTAGGAGGCAACGTTAAGCTTTGGTTGAACTCTTTTCCAGAAGGGAGCTTTACAGAGTGGGAAGCTGTGGTGACAAAGTTCTTGAACAAATACTTCCCACAATCCAAGGTAACACAAAGGAAAGCAAGAGATCTCTTCTTTCATGCAAGCAGGAGGAATCACTAGGTCATGCATGGGACAGGTACAAAAGCCTATTAAGAAAGACTCCCACACATGGATTTGACGAA